TGTCTTTACAATCCTTTGAATTTTTGTGCGGGTAATTAGCTGATAGTTGGTTTCATAAGTTTACATGCGGTGTATTCTTTAGGATAATTAATTATCAGTCCTTTCCTATTCTACTTACATGTAGTGCAGTTGGATTGCTTTAAAAAGAGTTTGGTGCCTCTAAATTTATTCTTGATTCGGCTTCTTTTAAATACCACGTTACCCCTTAGCAGTTTTTCATGTATTTGTGTCTAGAATCTATCCAGAAGCTGTGAAGTCGTCCTCTTGAATCCTTTTCTGTTTAGTTTCATGAATGTCCTCAGCGTCCGAGGCAATAGCTTGTCAGCCACAGCTGTTTTCGACTTTGGTCTTTCTGGATACGGAAACCACTGGACTTCCAGATGGAGTCTCAAGTCCTCGAATAACGGAAATATGCTTGTTAGCTGTTAGCCGTTTCGCTTTGGAAGACGACGCCACTTTACCAAGAGTACAAAACAAACTTGTTTTGTGTTTTCATCCCATGTCCATCATTGGTGCTCAGGCTTCCGCTATCTCTGGTATTGTTGATAGTATTTGTTATACATATTTTCATAGGATTAACCCACGAAAACTTATATCACCAGAAGGATTTTGATTTGAAAGCTATCGAACAGATTCAGTTGTTTCTCCATCGTCTTGACCCCCCGATCTGCATCATTGCACAGAATGGCTTCAAATTCGATTTTCCTATAATTAAAAGCGAAATCTTCCGCATTAAAAAGGAAAGTTACAATTTTGTAGATTGCAAAGGAAATGCAGTAGTTTGTTCTGATTCCTTACTTTTATTTAAAGCACTTTCAAACAAGATAAACGACTCTGGTGTTGGTATTTCAATCACCGATAACTTAGCTGTTTGTGCTGGTCAGCCACTAGCTCATTCTACGCCCGAAAAGGTGCAATATCGGAGTCCTTTTTCCCTTTCGGCTGTTTACGAACGCGTTTTTGGACACCAGCATGATGCAGCCCATTCTGCTGAGGGTGACTGCTTTGCTGTAATGAGGCTAGTTCAACACTTGGGCATTCCTGCATTATCGTGGTTTGATTGCAATTATTTAAGCTTTAATGATATAAAGACATTTCAATTTATTGATGGAAATGCCTCACCTCTTCCAACTGGTCGGTTTCCCTATGAGGTCGGGTGTGGACCTTATGATGATGCGATTGATTTGACCGATTAGGGATTTATCATGATGTGACTTATTACTCTGTCTTTCTTTTTACTTCTATTTAATGTATTTACAAACCTATCTTGTGCGTTGTCTTTATGCTCTATCTTATGAAATAAATTCTTTTGATCAATTTCTTGGCGTGAGCCAATTTGAATAGTTAATCTTGCCTACGTTTCAAGTTTTCATCGTACTCTTCTTACCGGCTTCACCTAGATCTAGTTGCCATGATCTCTTAAAGTTGTTTAAGTCAAGCGCCGACGTCTGTGGAAAGACGCTTTCGTGAGTGGCGGAAGTGCTTTACCTGCGTGCAATTAATTGATGCACAGATGGAAAAACGTTTAAGTGGTATTATGTAATGTCCAGGCGAGAGTTAGGTATTGAGCGACTTGGTTCGGCGGCTCATAGTTACTGCGAGCCCTACAACGAACCGATTGGTGTAGTTTGAGGAGGCATACTAGTTTTGGCTACCGGTGTTGGTGTTTGACACGTAAATCGATGTGAGATGGCTCGCCCTACATGGATGATATTTCTGCAGTCTATTTGAGGCAATGCTCGTGTGAAACAGGGGAAGATTTCACGGGGGCGTTGGCCGTGTGTCGGTTCACTCAACAGTGGTCGTTGTTTGAAGGTGTGGGATCGGGGTTCACCAGAAACATGCAGTGTGGGTTTAACGGGAGGTCGGGAGCTCCTATTTGCTATGAGAAGGAAGTCTGTGATGGTAAAATTGGCATTGGAGGTGGAAGTTGGTCAATGCACCGCAGCGTCTTGGCTCAGCATGAGGGATCTCACCGCATTTTCTGGAACTAGTGCCACGTAGGTACCTGAATAATGGGTTGGGGAGAAGGTGCTGAAGGATGGAAGTGCAGGTAGTATGATGTGCGGAAAGTCATTCAAGGGTTCGGGGCCTTCAGGATCTGTAGGGTGAGAGGCGAGGTCATTTTGCCTTGATTAGTAGGTTTGGGCGGATTCGATCGCCTTCGTGCATGACGATTCATGCGGCGGATCGTATTGTCTAGCTCGGAAGTGGAACAGCGTTGGTGTTGTGCCCATCGTAACTCGTCAGATGATAGTCCTAAGTAGGTGGAAGGTGCTTTAGCATGGCCTGAATGCAGTAATCAAGGGGTGCATAGTTGATTAAGCAAGAATCTTCCAGTGTCGTATGCATTGGAGGTTTGACCGTCACGTGGTAGAAATGAGCAGTTCACGCCAGAGCCAGCGTTGAAAACTGTAACACACGATAGACAGATGAGGTAGGTAGGTAGGTCCGTAAACCTGTGACATTTTGCGAAATATTTCTGGTTAAACCTTTGTGTGAATTTGTTTTCGGAAGCATGGGGAGACATTGTGCAAGTTCAATATTTTTACGCTTATCACTATCGGAGTCACTTTCAAGCATGGATACAATTAATGAAAAAGCAACAGAACCGGATAGCACTCGATTTTATTTAGTTTAATTTTGTTGTATTTATGGAGAATTAAAAACGATGATATTTATATATTTGCGTCTAATGAATGGTCCTGTTAATTGTTCAAATACTATACTGGAACTGAATTTCAGAAGAGGTTTACTTTGTTTAGTTTTCGTTCATCAAGCAACCAAACACCCTTGGTCAATGGATGTGCCCATCAGTGTTATTGCTGCTTTTTACTTTAATTCCTTTTCGTTTTAAAGACATGCCCGATAGCACAGAAGGCCCTAACCACGTTTTGGCCTTAGTTAGAGTCCTTTGCCTGCGTATTCCGTCAGTGTTTATGTAGGTGCTTCATTCTACTGGTGAGTCTACTAAAAAAGCACCTGGATCCTTGCAGGTCTATTTTGCTCAGTCCACAAAGGCTTCTTTCTAATTACTCCCCCTGCACCGGCCTTGAAGTGTATCGTTTGTAATTTGTCCTTATTTGCTATTCTTTGCAGTGCAAATGCTTCCAGTGATGATGTTCTCGCGTTTTAGCAATAGCTCAGAAGCATCGCTAAATGAAACTGCCCCTTGTTGGGGCACCGCTGGAATAACAAGGGCCGCTCTTTACAGGAGTTACCTGGTGTGTTACTCCGTTTTTGCAGCCTATTAATTGTGCGTGTTGATTTGTTTCGATCTCAGTCTCATTCTAGTCTTTCTTTTGTGTCCCAAATTTATATTCTACAACTTCCTAATGTCCGTGTTAGTACTCTTGTTCTTGTGTTTCTTGTTCAGATTATATTCGCCTGTTCTTTGGGCCCATTCTTCTTCTGCAATGTGACAAAGACACGTTGGCTTCAAATTGGCACAACGATCGCCCGCTGGGTCTCCATCATTCTTATGTCCTCCATCGCTATCGCTCGCATCATAGAATTTCCAGAGGTTCCTCGACTCGATCACCACCAACTTCCCACTTATATGAGCCTTCTTAATACTCCTGTGCGTCCCAACCCGCCAATAGCTAATTTTGCCAAGCTCCCCTCTGCTTTTGGGGTTTGTGTGTACTCTTTCATGTGTCACCACTCCCTGCCCGGCATCATCACTCCCATAAGCAATAAGCGACGCCTCTTCGTTACCATAATGCTTCCTGTCTACCTTATCATATTCGCCTGTTACCTTCTCCTATCAGGCACAGCAGTAGCTGCTTTTGACTACATCCACGACCTGTACACTCTCAATTTTGTGCCTACAAGTGACCCCAGCCTGCGTCCCGGGTGGCTCCTCCTGCTGGCAGATTACTTTCTCGCTCTGTACCCAGTTTTCGCGCTCTCTTCAAGCTTCCCTGTGATAGGAACAACACTAACCAACAACCTGCGCTCTCTCTTCCTGCTACTTCCGTCTGCGCGACGCGGACGGCTTGTCGTGAGGTGGGGTGTGCCTTTTTTGGCATTGGTACCACCCATCCTCTTTTCGATGGCGGTCAATGATGTGGGCGAGCTTGTTGGCATAACAGGGGCCTTCGGTGGCAGCGGAATTATGTACATTTTCCCTGGAGTACTGGTCTTCTATGCGAGAAAAGCACTGATGATTAAAGTTCAATCACTAACCCTAAATGATGAGTCTGTAGCGGGCGATCAGCCAGGAGTGATTGTGGTCAACCCCTACCGGTCACCATTTTCTCACTCTTTGTGGCTCATCTTAGTGATCCTTTGGGCCATTTCATGCTTATTTATCGTGATTCTGAACAAATTTAGTGTATTATGATTTCTGCTTTTTTCTATATTACTCATTAACGCAATTTCAGCGTTTTTCAATTGTTTTAGATAGGGTCAGATCTGCTAATAAACTGTACTATTTCTTCTTTGATTCTACTGACCTACATGATGTTGTAAATATAATAATGAAACCAACTGCTTTGGGGCACCCAATTGTAGTTTATTGTTTTACATGGTCCTTCGATTCAGATTCTCAAACGCTGAAGTTTTAAATGCACAAATACTTTTTACAGTAGACTATCAGCTATTGCAACAATAAGAGATAAATCTGTACGGCGCGTACATTCTCGCATGTGTTTATCTCTTTCAAATGTGGTTTGCTTTGTGTCACGGTTCGCTCCAGAAATGAAAACGCATTTGTTCGAATGTGTAGTGAACCCAAAGGTTTGTCTTTAAAAAGCTTAAAATAAGCACGACGTCGGAGCTACTGCTTCTGCATGGTAATGGTGTAGGATCGTCAAAATCCGACTTTGCTTACGTGCTAGCCAGAATGGTACCTTCGTTGATGCAGCTATGACGTCCTTGATTTCTTCTCATCTTATCCTTTGAGGTGTTCCCTTCGACTGAAGTTGTTTTTCTGTAGCAAGCCTTTAGAGCTATCATTTTTGATTTTCCACACAGGATCTCCCACAAGCAGCTACATTGCTACTGAGACTATGTTTACTATGACACTTGAGCAAAAATTTTATAGATGTGGTCAGTTCTTTAAAAAAAAAATTAAATTTGTTGAATGACTAAATATGTTGAAAAATTTAGCTGATTGGCATTTCCTTTAAATAGGGAACAATTGCTCCGTAATTTACAGCCAATGGGAGTCATTTTGTTGCAATGCATCTTCAGTGGTATGTCGATAAGGTTTTGTAATATTTCCGCTTTCGCTTCTACTACAGACGTTCAGAAATACAAGCTGGTATGTGCACTTGACAGACCCGAATTGTATTACGTCCAGTCATTTTGACCAATCAACTAGATATGTAGCAGGCCGATGGAACAGTTACTACACGTGGTTCCACCCCTCCGATTCTTAAAGTGCTTCTCTGTAGGTAATTTTTTCACACAAATATATTGATTCTTTACCTTTCATGTTCGTCAGTTGCTTGAATACGGACTTGTGCAGTTGGACGTCTCACTAGTGAAACGAGCAGATTTCTCACCTGAACATTGAATAGAGTGGTAGGAGACAACTGCTGGTTCACATGACGTGATCTGCCAGTATTGCCAAAGCCAATCATTTCCGGTAATGATTCACTTTTCTGAAACGGTTGACGTTTTAACTAGAAATACTTTGGGGGATAGGCTCTGTTACTTTCAACAAAACGCTCAAACAATGAAGCCTCAAACTTCCCAGTACAACCCCGGGTAAGAGCTTTCTGAGAGACTAATGGCTATGCAAGCTGAATCGCTTTTTGGGCCACTGGCGCTTGTCTTGAAAAGTGTTTGTTTATAGGTCATGAGCCTTAAAAGCTCTGGTCTAACACGTTTTTGTTTACAACGATGCCAGACAGCAGTCTGGTTTATTGTGATGCAGGTTCACGGGCTCTGCAGAGAAATCTGAGGGTTAAAACGCAGAAGTTGGATTGTGGGGCTTAGCCAGAAACCCGAGGAAGGATAAGCACAATATCCGGTCACGTGTCCATCGTAATGACGGTTGTGGATTGACGAGGTCCGTCAAAGACGCTAGCATCATAAATGTCAGACATCTACAACGCAGAACGTCGCGTCGCTGGAACAACTAATGGGTGTCCCCAGCGACTAGTCTCTTTGGCCATCGATTATGGATGTTGTGAATGACTTTATGGTATGTGGAATATGAGGCTGTTTCCTGTCGTATTTCACTCACCGCGGCTGACATAGCTCGGATTGTCTGCCAACGCTGCTGTCTGATGCAGTGGTTGACAGAAACGGTGGGTACGGGTGCATCAGTTTTGGTAGTTGGCCAGTTTCTGATAAAGTAGTTACCGTACCTAGGCCTTCTGGGTGGTGATACTGGATTCGTAGCCATGTGGCTACTACCTCTGAAGGAGGCCTACGGAGAGTGCTGTTACGCCTGATTTTGGGCTGAAGATGAAAACCGCGGGCTTATAACTTAGAAATAACGAGAAAAACGGTCATAGATGAGATTATTAAACGTCTAGTAATCGCAGACCAATCCATCACCAAAACACAGAGCGTAATGGGAAGTTCGAAGCCGACAAAGACTCAACTGCCTATCGGACGCATTATCTGGTTGCCCTGCCTGTAGATGCATATTTGCAGGTTTTGTGGGTGAAAAGCTGGGACCTGTGGTACGGAGTTTTTTTAAATAAAATGCCGATAAAGTGACCGAGGACGTTTAGCTACACAGAAATACAATGTAACCGTTCAAGGTGGATAATTAGGGAAATGTTAAAAAAGGGAACCAGGTGGCTTAGCAGCAGATCCAAAATGCGCATAAATTATGGTTATTCCTTTGTGAACCGCAGTCGTCGTTTTGGATTAACGAACTTCGCCACAAGATTTTAGAAACAGCATGGGTCAAAAAGCACATCAAGGGATTCTCTTGTGATCTGCCTATTTCGTTGCCTTGCTGATGTCACCGACAATAAGTGATGCATTGCTGCCTCCTTTTAGTCAAAGCATTAACAATATTATCCGAGTCCTCAACAACCATAAGCACCAGTGGCCCTGTATCAAAGTGTGCCAGAATCTGATCCGATCTGAATTGTCAGATAGCCGCTTTGTACTCGATGGACCCAAACCGGGACACATCCCTTCTAAGAAGACGATTTCCAGGCGCTGTGAAGATAGAAATGCCGAGCAATAGCTGAATCAAATCGCTGTTCTGTGATGTGAGTGGAGCTGACAGGGATGTGCTAAAGTCAGTGGTAAAATTAACACAATTAGGTTTTTAGGCGATAACCTTCTTTACAGGACAATCAGTACCTTCTGGATGGTGTTTAAAACCTTAACATGGACTTCTTCACTCTTGGGAATCTAGAATTCAGCGTCCACCAAAAGGATTCATCTTATGGTCGCTGTATTTACCGCCACATTGCTCCCCGCCATTACAGCCATTTAGGGCCATCTGCTTTCACATAACATGAACCTGTAACACAAATAGTCTGAGCTATCTAGTAAATTGTCTTCTTCACTGCCTCTGGTATTTTTCCTGTTTTCTCGTGTATCTGCGTAGCCTAAATGGATCAGTTAAAAGACAGTGCCCTCGGCGTGACTCAAGACCACATGCCGGAGCCCTTAAAAAATGCTTTAAATTTTAACCTAGTTTTCGATGCTGGAATGTTAGGTAGAAGAGAACGTCTAACCATACACGCACACTGATTTCGAGGTTGTAAAATGACTGCTGCACGTCAAGTATTGTTGTTCGGAATTTGAGCAAAACCCAACTGCAAAAATTACTAGTGCACTAAACCTTAATCGTCAGTCGTTACATGTAATGGGTGATTTAATGTGGAACCGTGAACACAGACACACCATTGTATTTTGCTACGCACATGGGGTTTTTTGCCTCCAGCACTAGAAAGATTTAGGAGTTGGAAAAAGTAGAGCCTGGTCGCGAATGCACTGGGGTTGAGTCGAGAAGAGGGTGATCACTTGACTGGTACTTACTTTAATAAAGCTTTAATATGCTATTTATTGTCAGATTTTAGTGTTTTGACCAATGTCTTCATTTATAACTCCATTTTTTCGAGCAATTATACATAATGAATTATAAATTAGCTTAGAGAAACGATTAGGTCACTACATTTTAATTGTCACAATCCGTCTTTTAAATGAGGCAATTTAATTAGGCCATACCAATCCTATACTACCTGCCGATTTGACTATTTGTAAATCGTAACTTTTGACGTTGATTCAAAGCAACGTAGGTGAAGATTGCTTCGGCCATTTACACTAAACTCGCTGCATTCAGAACATTTGGTGTGAATATCTGTGCATGTGTTGACAAAAGCCATGCACATGCCTCATCCACTTGTCAAAAGTAGACGAAAATCTTTTATTGAATTGTGAAGGTGGTGTTAACATCGGTGAATGGAGGCATGAGAGACTTGGTGGCTTCCACTTTTGCCATGATAAATTAGCCAAAGTTGGTAGGTTTACCTCTTGCTTGATTTCATCAGAGAGGAACACTTTCCAAGTTATGGTGACAACTGCAGTTGAGTACAGATTGAATAGGTCAAATGAATAGTCAAACATGACAAAATTTCAGAATGAGGTGGTGCCAGAGAAGCTTTAGAGAAAAAGGACAATAAACCATATTTCATAAATCATTCTAAATGGCACTAATTTTAAGCAATGTTCGTATATAGAAATTGGTCATAATTCTCATTTCTTGAACAAATGTGGTTTAAATTTACGTACCAATATATTGTTCACTGCACGTGCTTTAATGTACACACATAATGTTTACCATTAAGCAAAAATAACCGGACATAAGAGCGAACAGATTTAATGTTTCTGAATTCAATTATTAAAATACATTCATCCGCTGGATGGAATGAGCGGCAGTGTGAAATTCGTTGAATATGGCTTTTTTAAATTTAATGGATGCGAAACAGATGTCCACTACATTTCACCCGCTCAGTTAATCTGCACTAAAGAAAGGTAATTAAATGTACATACTTTTGATTACTCACGTGTTTGTGTAAAACTCGACATGCTCATGATAAAATATGCTTATTTGTGATTGTTCTTGAGATATAAAGAGCATCCGTCTCTCATTGTTGGATGTTTGGATGACAATGTGAAGATGGATTCATAAATAATTGTGTTAGGGATTCCTGAATTCCCAATTGCGAATTTTAATTTAGCCATTGTTCTCACAATTCCCTAACCATAACTCTATCTGTGTTAATCCTTCTTGATTCTGTAGGCAAAGGTCATCCTTGACTTATAAAAGTGAGCCCATTGAGACTGAACAATCGGCCCTTGGGTGAGACATTAAAAACTCTCAACACGAAATCCTGCCTTGTCTTACATCAGCGTGGAAAAGAGGTGTCTAGCATTAGACAAGGGATCTGAAGTATGTTACCTGTGAGTGATTCAGGGTTTTGGGCAAAACGTAAATATTTGTTTAATTTTAACTACATGTTTTGATTTCCTTGAGAGAGCACCCGTAAACAAAGTGTGCAAAAAATTTGAGGATGATGTTCACACGTAGAAAGAAAGGCCTGTTGAAAAAAAACGAATAGTGCCAGATACACAAAATAATATGAAAATCGATGATTGGATAAAAGCACATTAGGTAAATGAACTTTTACATGAATAACTACATAACATTTCATGTTGAATTCCTCACTATGCTTGTAAATATGTACAAATAACTGTTTAAAAGTCTTTAACTAAAGCTTAATTCTTTCGATTCTTTGCACCCGCGATGTGTAATGAATAGTCCGAAAGGTCAAATTTGTTGAAATATATGAGGGAAAAAACTTGAGTGCTGTTAGTAGTAAAAACTTACTGTGATAAAGAAAATTTTACGTTTTCGAGCATGTTTTACAACTACGATAAAATACAGCCTATTTCAGCATTTTCTAACACACTTAAATGAACTGTTTGGACATTTTGGAATTGACATTAGCTCGGACAAATAAATAATAGTCAATAGTTCTAGTTAGATTTTGGATAAATTTGAGCATTTTAAAAGGTAGTGAAAGCCTTCAATTAGAATCAAAGTTGATTTCAATTTGACATGCAAGTAGTTAGGAATGTAACTGATAAGGGCATATTTACATTTGCTGTTTTGTCGGCGCGTGACTTAAGATTGTTAGGGTTCGTAGTTTTGAGGTTTGTCTGAATTGCTTTCCATTATCGGAGTGCTTATGCATAAGCCTGACGGAGATTTGTTGAATGCATATGATAATCATTGGACTGCAGTGATGTTGTTGTATTTTGGGCGAGGTCTTTTAACGCAAACACGTTGGCTGATATTTTGAATGCAAGAAGTATTTGACAGGGAAGTAAATGTGTACATTAGAACGCAGATCAATGAAAACGTGTATATGAGGATGTTGCTATGAGGCCTTAGACCACAGGAATGGTGGACTGTGACAGTTGTTTGGCTATTTACTGGAATGTAGCGTGGATTAGGGAAATTAGTTAGTTGCTCGCGATACTTTTTTTGCGGAATTGGTTGCACGGTTTAGTTACTGACGATAAATTAGTCGCTTATCAGTCGGTGTAGTGTACGTTATACCCATGTTATTGTTTTTCGTAGTTGTCCGTCTGCTGTATTGTGTTTGGGCACTCTATGTGTACGCAATCTTTCTGCTCTGTCCCAAAACACGTAGCCTAAGTAGTAAACTTACCACTCAGTTTCTTGCTTTTATACATAGTGTTGATGTTGCGGTTGTGGAAACTGTGCCTTGAGTGTTGATATGAAAGCAGAATCATGTTGGATTGCATACTTACCTAACTCGCTACGTGCCTTATTTGTCTAGTGATATAAGTATCATCGGTTCGCTTTGTAGTTATGATGCTTATCATTGTAGTTTGACTCCTCGAAGAGATTGTGAATCGTTCGTTGTGTTTTTGCAGCTGTGAAACATGTTTACTGTCTCCGCGCACACAAGCATGCTCTAATTGCTGCGGTCAAATTATCGGTGTTAAGTAATCATCATTAGATGGTGTATTGAATCAATTACTGGCACGTGCATTATTTTTGGTGCGTGGTCAAATTTGGAATTTTGGATTCCAATAATATTGGCTACTTTGGCATAATCGGATAATCGTGCCCGTTTCTCCAACAATTGGTATTTCAAGAATATTTATGCTTTCTCCTTTCCAATGCAACCCCTCAGCCACCCTCTTTGGTACACTGGCCCACTTTGGACTGATCCCCGTATTCCTTACAAGCAGCCTGTACATACACGCCCATACTGACGTAATTAGTCGCTTCATTAATATTTTTTCTACACTAACCTTAGCGAATCGGCGGTCGTTGGGCCAACCAGAGTTTGGTGGAATCGCCGTGCATCACCAATTTGCTGCTTTAGCTCATCCACACAAAATGGTTGACGGTGAAAGCCAAAGTGTACAAGGTTGTTTGCGTCCTTTGGACTCCCGAGATGTAGACTCCGATTTGTCTGACGTTGATCGGGAGGAGAAACAAAGGCTCATTAAGCAGGTAATGAATGTCTACTTTGTTTTGTGAGTAGAGCGTTTTTCTGTACTGATTTGAACCCACACGTGAAATACCTGGACTTATCACCGCATTGAATGTTCTACTAATGTTGACGTGTTGTGCTAACTTTTAAATGGGTCTTTGAACGTGGCCTATATGGGTCCGTTTTGGTCTCTTCTTCTAGTAATGCCTCTTGAATGAGTTATTCGCCGATAACTCTATTTGTATGTCCTAGTAAGTGATTTGCGTTTTTCTTTTCGATTGTTCGCGTTGATGTTCCAAATAGTTTTATTAAGGTTCTGATATATTTGTCCAAATGTGTTTTGGCCTGTGGTTATCTAATCTATTTATCTTTTGTAATGAATATTGAGTGTTTAAATTGCGTTAATAGCTTTGAAAGTCTTGGTAAATAATGTGCGCCTTAATCTGGCGCTTTTATAATTACCATACTTTGCTAAGTATTTGGCAAATGTACATGAGTAGGTAATTGTAAACTAGTCTCAGTATACTCTCCACCAGGCTTGATAATTTACCGGATTTCAAGTGTTCATTGTCCTCTTCTCTTTTTGGATGGATCATCATTATGTATTTTGGCCAAAATGGGTCACGCGACTATTTGGCATGAGGCTTCGCTTTCGCCCATTTCCTCGGTGATAAAATTTCGATGCGCCAGAGCATTTTTTCGTTACGTTTCTCTCAGGGGACCTGTTCAAGGCACGGCCCTGTTTTTATTTTCCTTGCACTCTGTTGCGGTGTAGCACCATACCTGTGCGGACCAACCCTACGGTGAAACCTTCTTCGGACGACAGAACTCATGTCTTATTTTCCTTGCCCGTTTTTGTTGTCTTCGCATTTGGTGCTAATGCAATAACCGCGCTGATACTTTTATAGGTGTCGTAATGCTTTTGTTTGGGGTAAACAACGCCAGCCCATCTGCATTGTAGGGGCACAGCAAGGCCATTTTTTCTAGAGTTTTGGGGTTGCTTGCATTTATGGAGGCCTAAATTCCGGTGGCACTTTTTCACTTCCCACTGGTGTGAGTGCTTGCAGATTGACGCCGTCGTGTTTGTATTTCTCCTCCGGCCACAGGCATATTTCACAATTAACAACTAAAGATTGATGTGTGCGTAGGCTGGTGGGAATGGTGAATTAACATGGTGCCGCACCAAGTCTCTCCCTTGGTTGATGTTTTCCTTCTTTTCGTGGTATGCGGATGTGCTTGTGTCAGGAATGGTGGGCAAGAGGAGTTGTCTCTTCTTGACGATACCTGTTGCTTTTCGTGATGAAATCAAGATTCACCGTAACCAGCACCTAGACTTGACTTCCTTGAATGGTGCTGTTCACGGAATTTCACTGAAGATCTGGACTGTAATTTTGTCCCTACTTGCGAAATAGCAGTAAGAACGCCTTAGGTGAGCTGCTGTTTCATGGTTATCCTCACCTCTTCTACAGTGTATTTCCATCGAAGTCAGTCGAGTGCGTCATTAAGGTTGAAATTGTTGCTCTTAAATTATTTGAAAAATACATGAGCTGCCCATTCGGTTATGGCCACATGAATTTGCCCATCCGCATCCGTGGTTGTAGCACTATAATGAAATGCAGGACAGAAAGTGATGTCAAAAAATATAAATCGAACGCTTAGAAAAATGGTTGCAATTTTTTTACAGGAAGAGGTGCTTTGGAAGTTCATTAAAAACTATGCGAACACCCGGAAAATGGTGGCAAAGTGTAAGTTAAACTGACAGAATTGCGTCTCAACCCAATACGCAACTTTCGAGCAGGCGTCTTTTGGCAGAATGTCCATGACCTGTGAAGAGCTTATTCAGAGTACAACTGCTTACATTTCTCCACGAGAACCAAATAGAACGCAGAGAGTCTGGTGTAAATATTTGGTCGAAAAATTAAGTGTTTAATATTTAAAAGTCGTCACTTTTAGGTTCTGGAGCTACAACACACCCTGGCTGATTTGTCCCAGCGTGTCGAGGCAGTGAAGGAGGAGAATGTCAACCTGCGTTCGGAAAATCAGATTCTGGGTCAGTACATAGAAAAGTTGATGGCCACTTCGTCCATCTTTCAGTCCTCCTCACCCCCGCCTCAGGGGTGTCGCGACGGCAACCGGAGCGGTCACTCTTCGCTGTCGTCCTCCGCCATGGCTCCCTACCCGCCAGGGGGAGTCACTACCTCATTCCACTACGAGGAGGGCTCGGAATTGGTCAGTGAGGACGACATCGCGTAGTTGTCGTGGCCCTTTCCTGAAGTAACGCATTTTACCCTTCCCATTTGACCTATCTTTAGCCTCCAGCTAAATGTGACAGTTTTTTGCTTTGTTCCTTAAGGTAATTGACCATCGTTGCGTTAACTTGAATGCCCTTTTGTCGTCATTTGTGTCGTCAGATGGATGTGTCGATTTACTTTGCCGTACGCTCCCTCCCTCTGGCGGGCTGCCGCAACAACCACTTGCAATTAGATTTTTTTTCATGAGAAACACGAAGCTAGTTAGACAGGGGTTCGAACCAGTGAGAGGCCCGTTAGGACTCGGCTAAACGTCACTCAAGACTTGGAATTACCACCATTAGATCCGGCATGCTTCCTCCCTTCTTTAAAACTAGATTTTGTTTCGTCAAAACTTCTTGGATTAAGGTATCCAAGCCGGTTTGTTAGTTGAATCTAGCCGAGGAATTTGTCATGAAAATTGTGGCTTTTTTGATTAACGATCACCTGCAATTGCTAACTTGCCTGTGGACAAAGATTCCTTTTAAAAGCGCCGCCCATTCAAATTAGTCGGGTTGAAGTGGTCTTTTGCCGAAGCTGGAAAGTCGCTCAGTGTGCCCCGATGGGGAATAACACTGATTACCCGAGGAAACGTTCGTCATCGTCAGTTGACATTTAAGTAAAAAAAGAATATTCATATCGAAGATGAATCTTTGACCCGACCTATTGTTCAGAGATTGACATTTTTAGACTGGTCAAGTAGATGTCTTGGCATTAGTGAGAGGCCACGTTGCTGTCAAAACTTCTCATTTGCAGTATTAAGTGTCTCCTACTTCTGATCTAAATCGGCATATCGACTTACAAATACAATCAGTCAATAATTTGTCTTGGTGGTTTAAACACCAATAAAACGTGATTGGTTGGGTGAGTTTTTGGTCCTCATGTGGTCGTTTTTCAGAAGATGGATGAATCCTCGGTTTGATGATCGTTCTCCGACTCTATCGAGTGGTCGAGTAAGTCAGAAATTGCTCTGCAAATCCAAAGATGTTTTCAAAAACTACTGAGCCTGTTTTGGTTGTGATTGGTGGTGTTTTTTTGTTGAGTATTGAATAACCAATGAACACGTATATTCATTTATTCCAGTAACGTGCTCACGAAAAGCTACCCATAAGTGTATACCCTACTTCCTATGGCCTTCTTACATTCCACGTGTTTCAGGCAACCCAGGGTTCGCGTGTTGTGTCAACTGTTTGCAAACTCATGAAGCAGCCTTACAAAGTGGAAGGCTCGGGATGAACTCATGTTGGCGGAAGTGGATACTTAAGTAGGGCCCATGGTGTTCACTTCAAGACGTCCTAGCTAGGCCAACACCAGTAATCCGTTACACTCCTTTCTATGATTTTTAAGCACATGGTCGGGGCCTTTGATACAACTGACCCTTTAAATGCTGCACTCTCGATGGTGAAATTTGAATTAACAAAAAAAATGTCATCAAAGTGAATCAACAGAGCGGAATAGTTGCGTGACCAAGCTGCTTTTGCTTTTGTACCTCTGTTCCTTATCCATGAAAATCTCACACAAAAATATTCGAATTCGTTTTAACTGCGTGTTTGATCACGACGAGGTACACATGTGTCACGGATTTGGAAGGATAATCTAACAAGTACTCGTGGGGCATAGATTGTGCATTTTTGACTGCGTTATTCCTACTTTTGTAATTTTCACATTGACACCTGGGCCCCTATCCTCGTAACATGTCGGAATTTTACACTTTGCTCTGTCAGTGGACTAAAATCTTACTCTTAGCATTCGAGGCAGGATATCGAGATAGGGTCGAAACGCAATTTTTGAAGGGGTCCCACGACAGTCCAAAATTTTCTTGGTACATGAAGTGGAAGGCTGTCTGAATAGAAAGGGTTTTTTCTGAGCAATTTTATCAGACGTTGCTAATCGATATGGGGGACTGGCAACAGCGATTTATTGCCTTAGATAACCGTGACAGTGACTTTTATATCTACTGGTTGGCTCTTGGGTTTCCTTTCTGGATATTCCTTTTTGGAACCATTGTCAGGCTCCCATTTTACCTTTTTTCTGCAGGTTTTAGTTACGTTAACTTGGGAACTTTCTACGGACAAGTTGCAGGGAAATTCCAACTTAGATTTCTTCACCAGGATTTCTAATCCTAGTGGAAAATGCTGGTGCTTTAGTTGACCTGACAGCTGTTTCAAGCACAATTATTTGTGCACCGAGTTCACTTAACGAATCGTAGTTTATTCGAATTTTCGTGACCGAATGTGACTACCTTTTACGCACTCTGAGTTAGTACCAATCACTCTTTGAAATGGAGACAATCACGATGAATTTAATGTGCACCAAACAGTAAATGTAACGGCACAGTGAAGTAGCAATTGAGAAAATAACGGGAAACATTCTCGTCCATTCGATCCTTACGAGGCCCAGGTGCCTTTTTACTTGCGTTCATAATCTAGATTTCTAGAAGGGCCATTGAGTAAACACATCCTGATGCAGCAAATCCTCCTTTCTGTTTTTCACTTCTAGGCCTTAACGTTGATCCACTACTCTCGAGTCACTGCTTATCAGGTGTAGTTGGTTCGTGTAGAAAAGGCCCTACCGTTCTAGTGAAAATCCTGGGAAAATCAGGCTACCCTACTTAGATTCCTTGAAGCTTTAAAGCTCTCATTAGGGTTTTCCCAGGTTGTAGTTAAATGGGAATATATTGTTCTTTGCCCACAGATTGCCTTCTGGCAGATTATTTTGTCCTGTTGTTAGCACAACTTACATTTTCGCATTAGAGGGATAAAGTTTGCAGCTGTGCGCTTTTTTTCCATATCAATCAGAAAATTGTCTAAATCTACGGTCGATTGGTTGTGGGCATTAAAATATAAAGTACGCTAGATGAATTAGGGATATTCCGGAGTCTGTAGGTGCTCGGGACACTACATTACGCAGATTTAACTGTGCGCCTGTATTCATGTTTGCCAACTGGTGCGCCTAGTGCAGTTGTTATAGAAAACACAACTTGTAACTCCGGAATCTTGACGTCACATATCGCTACGATAAAAAAAATTTATTTGTCTTATTTGCTCTGTAAATGGTCGGATTTTACTTATATGAATAAATCAGTCAGGGTTGTTATGAAGGATACTACCAAACACGTTTAGAGTGCAAGCGTCGAAATTTAAGAAAGATCAAGCTTGGAAACAATTTATTTGTAAAAAGTTGGGGTATTGTAAGTGTGTCAAAATGGTAATATCGACTCGCACTCGTGCTTTATCTCAAAATGCAGCATCTGTTGCCGAATTTGTGACCGCTGCTCCAGCAACGCGTTCTTCAGTGACAGCAAAACGGTGCTCTGTAGGTGGAGAGTGAAAGCTGGCGACGTTTGCCTGAAAAGCGGACTTCAAACCCCTTTTGGGTATATCACATGGGGCAATTTTTTGATTAGAGAAAAAGCACCATCTAGTGTGTTGAGCATTACCTTGCACATATACTTTAGTACACCGTGGTAGTTTGTATTAATGTAAGTTCTGTCGGCTTCCTGCCGCTTCCTTGAGTAGTTTTAGCATTTGGTATAGCCACAATATGCTCTGTCAAGATTCGAACAAGTGTGACTGAAATCATTAATAATCCAAACAGTATTAAACTAGATTAGGTGGTCGAGCCGTACCGTCTTCCAGCTAAGGGGTTATTGTGAAATGCTGAATGTCCAGCTGAATATGGCCCGATGCATTTTTCTACTCTAGCTACTTTTGCGGACTTCGCAGGGAATTTAAAAATGCATGGTGCCAAAAAAGCGTGCACATAGGTGTAAAGTAAAAAGACCATTGTCAAAAACGTGCTTTGACATTTATCAATATGCGTGATTTTATGCGGTCAAGTTCATGATAAAAAGTGCCTCTGCGTGTTGCGTTAGTCGCATTTAGACACCCTAGGCGCTACGTGTGCAGCATCGTGGATAGTCAGTGAATAAGTTCGGTGAAAAGCTGCTTTGGGCTTCAGAGGAATAGGGCCCACATTTCCAGGCATTGACGGGCTGTGCCACACCTAAGCTACAACACCCCTCACTCAATGGATGTCTATGGCCTAATTTCTATTTCAGAGTTTCAAAAACAAAAAAAAAGGCATGGAAGCAAAGTAACTTTGTTCGGTGAATTCATTAGAAGCAAGCGTAAAGTATCATGAGCGATGTACGTTTCGCACTTAAAGTTATCGGCATTGGTGTATGTTACGGTGTCAAATGTCATCAGAGGCATATTCCGACATTGACCATAAGAATTTTTACTGAATCCACCTGAGCACCTTGAATCGTTAAAGGTCTCCTTATTGGCTGTAAATGCGCGTGCAGAAGAATGTGAGATTCAATAATCAAGCACCTAAAATGTGAGAAAATTTGTACTGCATTTATGTGCATCAAAGTTGTTCGCATTTGGAATATCTGTGTAAAAGAGCCCTATCCCGAAGTACGCTGGTTGTATGGCATTGTTGTGAATCGTATTTATTTACATTAATTAATCCGGTCGGTCCACCCTCTGACAGAGGGTTCCCCTTTTCGCAGCATGTAGCCAGCCGCGTGGATCCTCAAGTCCAACCCTCATTCGCAAGAATATTTATCTTGTATTATCCTCACACCTAGGTCTCGATGTTAGCGCATGTGTGACTCACACATCTGAGGTATAAATGCACACGCGCAAACCACACACGTGACGACGACCCCGCCAGATCATCGAATAAACGATTGACTTCCCTTCCGCAGACTTCATCCTTGATGGGTAGATAGTGGCATATGGCGTCTCAACAAATTGGTGACCGCGACATAGACAACCTTCAGAAACAACCCTCTACCAACGTAGCCGGAATAAGTGTGAAAATGCCTCCATTCTGACCAAACGCTGCTCCTGGTTGGTTTGTACCCTTGGATGCACATTTTTTTGCAGCTATAAAATCTTTGCATTTAGTTTTGTCTCTGACCAGCGATTTGGCAAACGAATTATCGGACGTGCTGCT